TTTCCACCAGAGCTTAATTAAAAGCCAACCAACATTGTAATAACAGATTCTTTTAGACCAGCCTGAGATTTTCTTTTCTTCTTTGTTGCCTCCTTTGACATTTGCTAATCATCATATTCTGCCTTTGCTATGCCTAAACAGTCAAGTTCTCAACAAATGTAAACATGGTTTTTCCTAGGTGACATTTGTAATTTTTTCAGCACTTTTCATTTTTTGCACAATTTCCATTGTTCTATATTACTCCTAATTGTTAGGTTTTGAGACCAACATAGATTTTTTTGTATCTTGTACAAATGGTGTTCTTGAATGCCCCACATTTTGTATTTTGCAATGGCGACTTCTGAGAAGTTATGTCTGTTCTTAGTATTAACATAATTATCAATGTCTGTATTTCACTGTTTCTTTCTTTTAGATGCATTAGAAGAAGATTCACATTCATTCGGACTCATTATCATCAGTTTCTTGATGCAAAGGATTTGATTTTCTATGCTGATTTCTTTTGAAACGGTGCCTTTTTTTAAATATTCCTTCACATTTTGCCATTATACAACACATAAAACTATTTCTTTTAATTTTATAGACTATAACATACAAATTGGAATGGATAATAAATTGAACTTAATTTTACAACAAACACATCAACTCATGCCTCTATTCATTCGAACTGCAAAGCAATTGTTTACGAAACATGTGCATTAAGAAAAATTGGGCTATTGCACAGACAGTTCTATCAGCATCTGCAGACAACATTCCTTTACAACAGAAAACAAAAACTAGCCTTCTGACAAAATTACAACCCAAGATATTAGAATTTGTGTGAGAGGGAGTACAGTTATATTATAGTCTGACAGTTGACACTGTAACATTTAAAAATAAATTTAATACACTTATAGATGGTATATGTCAAATAATCTGACATAGAAATTTTCGTAACAGCACATATTATTTAATTACGAAAAAATAAATAAATAAATAAAAATAAAAAACATTCAGCCCACCGTCTCACCTTAAAGAAATTAAAATGTGTTCGGCGATTATTATGAATAATTAATACGGAACTTTGATTGAATAGCGATTCTGGGCGCGTCAACTGATTAGGTCATTAGACCCGTAAGTGAAGTGCATATGATTATCGTGGAGGGTGGCGATTATCTTTCCTGCTGGCTGATGAGATCCGGCGCCGACGTACGTCGACTTGCGGGGATTTCTCCAACCAGCAGAGTACTGCCCCAGCCAGAACGAGCTCTAAGCTCCCGACAAGTGGGATAGTGTAGTAAGGAATGGACAAGGAAGGAAAGGAAAGATCGGGTGCGATACATGGCCCGTTTGGCATTCGTCTGGTTGATCGGAGAAACGACTGTAAGCTACCGATCAGAGCAGCCGGCCTCTAGAATTCTTCTTTAGACAGCGGTTGAACTCTCCCTAGTTATCTACCTGCCAGTGTAAAAAATCCTGGCACTATCAGGGCTTGAGCTTTAGGACCTCCCAGTCAGAGACACTGCAGTGTCGTCAGTAGATGTCCTGAGCCACCTTTGCAGGTGTAGAATTGGGCTAGCTGAGATGACATGATCAATGGTTTCTACTTGTTACTGGCTACTGTGACATTTATTATTTTGGAAAATTTTGAGAACCTTTGCATCATAATGACGTGACTCAACACTTGATCGTGGGCAGCTATTACAACTGCTTCTGATTCTGGCTTCATTCTTCCCCTTTTAAGCCACATAAATAATTGATCTTTATTGGTTTGCACCTTCTCCGTTTGTTTTAGATACTGTCCTTGGGAGTGGTTTTTCTCTCCATGAATTTTTTAACATTTTTTGTGTCTCATTTCATATTTAGTAGCATCAGAAGTTCAGTGTCTATTATTCTGCGGTCTTGGACAGTTTTCTTCACAAAGTTTCTTGCATCACTTACACTTTCTTAGTTTCCCATTCTTCAGACAGATTTAATGACCAGCCTCTTTAGTGGATATTCTTAATGGCGGCATTATTATTATTATTATTATTATTATTATTATTATTATTATCATCATCATCATCATCATCATTATTAATGTTTACACATTGCTGGTTCCCAGGAAGACCTGGTTTTCAAATAACAATGCGCATTTTGCCAAGTGTATTATTTGCTATTTATTTAAGGACCTGAATTTAGAAAGTTCCGGATAAAGCGGCAAGTATTTTAGATAACAGACTTCTGCATTAATTTTTAAAGCCTTTTAGTTTATTTAGTTATTATTATTATTACTACTACTACTATTATTTTTATACATAATTTGTTGTCTTTATCTCCAAATCAATTGTGAAAATTTACTACAGTACTGTATATGGTGTGTTTTTTTCTTAATCCACACAGATCTTTTCCTAACAAATTATTTAAATTCATGTACTTGGTAACTTGCAATCCTAAGTCTTTGAAACACCTTTAAATGTGAAGGTAGGAAGGAAATATGCTTGTAAGTACTAGGCATATTTTTGTTTCCTCTTTTGTGAATTGGAATATCTTTGGACACCGACAATATGTAACCACAGCCAAAACAAGGTGGAAGGAAAAATCACTTGGCAGTTGTTTATGTTTAGACAGAAGCTGACTGTCTGAAATATTAACAATTACCATATTTATCCCAATATAAAACGACCCTCTAATTTTGAAGTTGCCTTTGAGAATTTTTAAGTAATTCTTACTATATAGTCAAAATAAAATTACAAATTGCACAACTGAATAAAAAAATTGCCTTACTGATGAGAATATCAAGGCATAGCAGAACTATTGTTTTCTGGTTTCTTAAAATCATCATAACAAAAGTTTTTGGCACTAGCCATCATCATCTTCATGTGTCAATGTTTGTTTCTTTTCGGTCCTCCTGCCGAGCTGTGACCCCTCACTTTTTAGACCCCTTTATAAATTTTGTACTTTGAATTTGCGTTGCTCTTAGTCTCAAATGACACCACCTAAAAACATTCCCTTGTGTCACACAATTTTCTAACTGTCCTGCATTTGTTGATGGCTTCTGCTTTTCTAACAATTTTTTTTACATTCTTTAAAAGAATTTACTTGAAACTGACAATGTTTACTGGTTGTGTGGTGTGACTGAGTTGTCAACTCGTACCTCACAGCCCTCTGTTTTGCAGGTAAAGTCAGAGATAGCGGAGAGTTTCCATGATTGGGAAGTTTTTACTAAGAAACTATTTTTCTATCATCTTTTTCTGTTGTTGGATGTAGAATGCATACATCAATGCGATTTTTCCTTTCTCGTATATGTATATATGTATGGAGTAATATAATAATCCAGAAAAAATTATGTAATGCTATACCAAAAAAAACTTGTATTGTGAGATCCTGAAACAGTGTTCTAATATGTAGTAAATTACTCCCACTAACACGTTATGTATTCAGATTTTGTGAATAGTGGGCCCTTGATACTGAAAAAGTGTTTTTTTTCAAAACGTCCATCCGTCAGTTCGTCCGTCTGCCACTAGAGCACAATAGGAACCATACGTATTTGTCCAAAATGGATATTCCGCAGTCCATCTGAGTTACGATTTTGAAAAACAGTCTTCAATTTTTGGGAGTATTTTATATGAAGCACCAGGGACATTTTCAAAATTTTCTCAAAAGGGCTCAAACATTTTTTTCTTTAAGTTTATTGTAAGGATAATATGAAATGCACTTATAAAGATGGCACAGATCTGTTTTTCACTGTTAACTCTTAATTTTAAAAAATTGCAAAAGTCTGAATTTTTTTCATCATCTTCCTATTACAAAATTGAAGATTGAGATTTTTCCTTCACGTAATTTTTTTTTCTCCATAGTTAGTTCTTTCTTTAAGGACATGTACAGGTCATGATTCACACTCGACAGGCATTTATTTGAGATTTCAAGCGGCCTCATCAAACACGCATCTTGGCATTCCACATTACTCACATTTCACTTGATACAATGCCAATCATTTTAGATTTTCTCTTCACTGGCCCAATTCAAAAATATTGGCCTGAATTGCCCCACTAAATTCACTATGTATTCTGAAAATATGAGAGTGAATATAATTATGCATTATAGATACACGCCATATTTTTATCCGCAGCTTATTTTTTTAAACGTTCGTTCACTGTTTTTGTAACAACTTTCACAGCAAGCCAAGAACTTGGAGAAGAAAATATTCACACACATGGAGTAATCTTCTGCCTATAGTGATATACTATATAATATTACAGTCTGTAGGTTGTGGCAAGGACTGCCAGGGAGCATCTTTGTGTACGCATCCCTCTCTTATATGCTCTTGTATCACTACCCTGCAGCCAGAATTGGGTAGGATTTAGGACACTTCACAGGGGTTGAACTAGCCCTTGTGAAGCAGCGCCTCCTTGGTGAAAAGCAAGCAACTTTGCTCTGAGACACGTGTTACATCTACATTTACAAGTTTCATACCATTAAAAGCATGTACTCTAATCGTCTCGCCTTAATTTGAGAGTACAAGAAGACTCCATAGTCTTTGATTTAGATATTTAGCAACGAACTTGGTCTTATATTTGGGTACAGTACTTCTTTAAAACTACCAATAAAGAAAGTTTTGAAGTTACTAGTATTTAATGATAGTATACTTTTTTAATAGTTTACGGGTTGATCTGCGTTATTATTACCAGTATCCTATGTATTGGTGTACAGTTCAAATATTAATCAAATGCATAGAACTTACCATTGATATAGCTAAGGAGGAACAATCTTCCCGTAACAAGTTCATAATGAAATTATTAAGTTTTGGTGATACCACGAGTTGGATCAGGGTTTTATGAATTTCTCATTCATAATTGTGACTAATTACCTGAATTTCAAGCTTACTATAAAGAAGAGTTCAAATTATACTTTTTCTTCACTTTTCTGTTTAACGTCTCACTTGGTTTAAATTTTAAATCAGAATGTTACAGTTCACATTCAAACTCCTGCTACATCTATGTATTAAATTTTAAAGGTTTTGATTAAAAAGACTGTTAGCTTACCTTCTATATCAGTGATTACGGAAATGAGTTCATCATCCACTTCAATGTAATGCCTTTTTAGCTGCACTGTGCACTGGGCAGGCATACTGCCTGGATCATTCTCAGGGTCCATATTTGATTGTTCTATATTATCAACACCAGCCTCTATACCAGTGGAATGATGCAGATCTTCTGCAACACCTACAACATCTGACTGAATAGATTTCTTATTGTTACCAGTCTTTGTTCGGTCTGCATTCACAGTATCACGATCTCGAGGAGATAAAAGAATAGGACCTGAAGTATTTTGATTTAATGGGCGCAACACAACTTTATCAGTCTCTAAATGATTTCCAGATGAATGAATTTCACCTGACAGAGAATTATAAGGCATATTGGAAGATACCCGTTGCCCTGTAAAATGCCCATCCTCCGAGTCTACTTCATGGTGTCGACGTCGATGGTTTAAAATGACAGGAGAAGGGGAAATGAGCAAAGGCGGAGAGCGATGCCTTGTTGGTTCTCGACGGCGATGCAATCGATATGGAACAATATTTTCCAGGTCTTCACCTTCTTCAATAAACTCGTATTTTTTGTCAGCAAGTCTTCGTTTTCTGTAAGAACTAAGCTTTTCTCCAGTGGTATCAGGAATATCATCAGTAAATTCATAGGCTTTCTCTGCTTCAGCTGCCATTTTACTATGGACTTTTGGCTGAGAGGGTGGCATTGGACTACTATAAAATTTCACAGGGTTGCCACTTCGGAGCATTTTCCGACGAGGGGGGCTAGATGTATGCTTTGGATCTGAATGTGACTGACTCGCCTGGCCACATCTTCCTTCTTCAGATGGACCAACTATCAGCAATGACTTTTGTACAGGAGACATAAGAGTTACAGTAGATTGGCTACTTTCAGAATAAGAATTAATGGTTCCACAAGAGATATTAAGTTCCTGAGTTGAGTCTATAGTGTGAGTTTCTCGGCCCCAGGTGTCTTCCATGGGGCATAAATATTTCTTGTACTGTTGTACTTCTACTTCCAGATCTTCTTCTGATGAACCATCTGCTATGTTACGTCGTGATGCTTGAGAACGAGTAACACGCCCTAAGTATGAGTCATCTGAAACCTTCTCCTTCCCATTCTTACAATTCACAGAAACAGCATCCAGCTCTGACCGGCAGGAACTGGTATCACATTGCTTCGATGTATCACAGGATTTCTTGTTGCTGATATTACACCCATCACTACCCACTCCCTTTGTAAAAACACAAATTTTATCAAAGTCCCCATCTTCATTACGAGTACACTGTAATTTATTAGGCATATCACAGCTGTCTAAACAAACTGCTTTGTTGTCACTCATCAGGGAAAAATGTTTTGAATCAAATTCTAAGCATCCCTTTTTTGTAGTAATCTCTTCATCATCCAAATCATCTTCATCATAGTCATATTTTTTGTCTGAGGTAGAGTTTAAATTACAACTGGCATTATAAGAAACATTAGCACCATCTTTACATTCACCTGTCTTCTCACTAGGAATTGAGGAAACACTAGGGCTTAAGCTATGAGATCTAGTATTGTAAGGGCAAGAAAAGAGAGGTCCATTCTGATTTTCAGAACATTTTTCATTCACAGTTTTTGGCAGAGACTTTGACTCTTCAACCCACAATTCATGAGCATTTAGACTATCCATTGATTTATTTTGGGTATTGTCGCTGTTGGACGGTTCCGCCAAACATTCTGTAGAGTCAGAAACCATAGGATCTACACGAGCAGCCACTTGTGGGGAATTTCCATCCACATAAACCAATTCTGCTCGAAGAACATGTAATTGGTTTCCAGTATTGAAAACAACAGTGCCATCTCGTTTCATGCTGACTGCTGGATCAAACTTGGGATATGGAGAAACTACATCGAAGGTGCTATGAACAGTTACGCTATGTTTTAAACAGCTGAATCGAACACAGCTATCCCAGTTTGCAGCAAGATCTGTAACCAATCGACAGTTTAAATGATAAAATGCTAATAAAATATAATAGACAAGAAAAAAGAAATAAGTTACCTTCTTCCTCATAAGAAGCAGCTACTTTAAGACAACCTTGACATTTGTTGAGAGATGGTACAGTGGTTATTGTAAGATATGAACGCTCAGCTTGACTTGCAGATCCCATGTATGTCTCGCAGCTAAAATAAATTTTTCAAAATTTATTGTCATTAAATCACAAATTTAGCATGGATATTTCAACTACTTTTATTAATCCAATTAAAAAAAAAACACTAATTTTATATACAATGGAATTCATCCACATTTAACCTCATTCACAAAATACCTTTAAAAATATGATTCACCTCACAGAGGCAAACCATTAGTTTTAAATTACTTTTTGGAAAATGAAAGATCTTTCTAAAATGTATGATATAAATGTTAGACCGAAACATTCATTTTGTGGTGTTTTAAATATTTTAAATACTTTTTTCTTACAATATACCCTAATCTTGGAAGAAAAATATTTTGAACAAATTCATTATTAATTAACAAATGTCTAAACAAAATTGTGATGTGACAAAACAATTTTGAGAACTGTTTTTTGCATGAATTTCCATTTAGTAGGGAAGAACATTTTAAAATATAACTTGTCCTTTCTTTTTATACCTCAATCAAGTTTTTAAAAGTACAAAATATAAAGCACTACTATGGTAGGACGTTACATTCTATCTACCACTATATGTCCTTTGCTTACAAGCGATTTTCAAAATTATGAGGGAGCCCTTATGCCTTTGAAACAAAATATTTAATATAGTGACACTTTTTGGCAACTTACCAATTTCCATAAATAAGGACTCTTGTGTAGTCCAAAGGCCATTGGCAAACAGCAATAAAAAGAGTACTGTAGATGCCATGGTTTCCAAACAACATCACTTCAGACACCTTCCGTGCCTTTTGATGTGGAGTAAAAGCCCACCAATGTAATCGATACTTGAAGACTGTATTGAATGACATTACATCCCATTCTGTAGTGTATGTGTATGATAGAAGAAACTGACCACATTTGGACATTCCAAGGAAAACATGGCTGTGAGTAAAAACCAAGATGTTATATGCAGAATGAAATAAAAAAAATCACCTTAATTGTAAAACATAAGATCTTTAACCCATTTTTGTTCACCAGTTAATATTGACATTAATTTATCAATAAATTAAAATGAATTAGAGTGAAACCACTCTAATTTGTACATTTTTGGTTCCTTAGAAATGAGAGTTGAGGGAGGAAACACTTCATAGTAATGACAAGAATACCACCTACTTCATGCAATATAGAAAAGTTCAACTAAAAATACATAAGGGGTCGTAAAATGATGGATTATGACCTAAGATTGATCACCAAATTTCAACGTTGAGAAATAAAATATTGATGTGCTAGCTTCATGATTTTCTTGCATAAAGGACAATGAATTGAGCTGTTCAAAACTAGTTTATTGCCTATTAAATAATGATTTTAGTTTACATAGTTTTATGACATCTGCCATCCTCATCAGGTAGTTTAAAATACAAGAATTCATTTAATTGAACTAATTAAAAATGAGGTCACAAGAAACTAAAATCTGCTTTAAAACTACAAAAATGAGCAGTAAAAAGGGACAATATTTTCTGTTCTTTTTAATGTAAGTATGAAATACTGATAACATAAAATGATATTTATCACTTCCCTTCACGAATATTAAAAATCAGTAGTACTGGAGAAACATTCTATTCATTTTACTATTCTCATTGAAATATTTTTAATTCACTTATATGACTAAATATAATAAGTTTGATGAAAATGATTATATGATGATTGTTAAGGGGGATTTTATTCACATTTTTGGAATGTAATTATAAAAACAGGTTTCAAATAATAAAATTTTTTCCTCTTTGAATGAATTCGGTAATGCATGGATGCAATGAAAAGGGAATTGGGAGGGAAAGAAAAAGAAAGAGAAAGTAGAGGACTCAAAAATATGAGAACTGTTATTAGTAAATTTCTGATTATTTTCAGAGTTGAACCACATGGAGAATAAATTGAATGTGAACATTTTGGAAAACAAATGGCGAAGCATTCAACATTACAATATTATATTGCTGTTAATAGGATAATGAATGTACATGGGCACCTATTTTATTACAAGCAAGCAGATTTGTGATTTGTAACAATAAAGCAAAGACTTCAATTTGTTTTCCAACATTGGCTCTCTTTGTACATACATCTATTAATTTTAAATAGCATACACTGGAATTCAAGTTACAGCTGCTATTCTAATCTGTTATGATTTTTCAACCTTTACTTATTGAATTCTCGAATCTTCCTAAGATTTCATAAACAGATACTTTTACCTCTATGTTACCTATTTGAGAATAATATAATCTGTTTTTTTAATATCATTATTTCAGAAGGAGAAAAGAAATAATTTTTGACTCCAATATTTCACACTAATTACCTCCTAATTCTGAAATAATATTTTGTAAACAGAAATATACCAAGTTTTCTTGATACATTTCTGCTTACAAGAAAATTGAATACATTCAAAATGAAAACAGTACAGAGTTCATGAAAATTAAAATAGAACTTATTAACAGAATTACATATTTTTTTACTTTCAGTGATAATTATATCTTTGAATCTTAGCTTACAAATCCAACAGAAAAACAGAATACATCATAAATAAAATAAAAATATATTTTCCTGTGAAAGTCTGTAAGTCTTGGTTTAGAAACTGGAAAACTATGTTCAGAATAAACGATATGTTAAGAAAAATTGATCTTCCAGCTATCACTAGCATACTCCTATTCTGATCCTTATTAAAAGTAACTCAAGTCTTAAAAAGTAGTGCTAAACCACTTCAGGATTAATACCTTAAAACGTATAAACATCATACCAGAAGGTTTCTACTCACTTTAACTTTGACGCAGAAAGCGGAAGAATATCTGCCAATTTGATTCGTTGAAAGGATGGCTTTTGCATACGATTAAAGTTCTTGCTATGGTGAGGTGCATAGAAACCTCCAATCTATAAATTAATGTACGTAATTTATTTAAGGAGACAAATAATACATCTAGTACATTCTGCCAGAATGCTCATCCTCTGGCAAACACACCTGTCAAACATTTTCTATTAATGAAACTACACATAATAAATCCCCAATGGACCACATGCATGACACTTCTACATGGTTTGAAAAATGGCAAAAGACTGTAATCAAGAAAGTAACAGTAATTACAAGAAGACTATATTTATGATCTATGAACAAATGCTACATAAGAGATATTGGTGTACTCAGTTCAAAGGAATGTAAAATATATATTTAAGCAAATTAACTGTTATTAGAGTACTTTTTATTTAGAAAAATCCAAAAAAGTATATTTACAATATAAATGTGAGTTATTAAATCTCATAAGTGAGATGATTCTTTGTTGGTGCTACATTCTCTTAAAACATACATGCAATCCTACATTTTTCTAGTTTAGAATATTTAAGAATTATTAAAACTCATTTTGGCAATAAATGCCTGTTTGGAAGCTTAAGCAAATTACCTTGAAAAGTATAAAAATGCAAAAAGAGTGTGGTAGCTGATGTGCTTTAGCCCTCTTTGAATTTGCTCAATAGTGTAACATTAAATTAATTAAGGATGGTAAGAGGGAGCAGTATTATGCAAGATTACTGAGAGTAAACAAAAGATGGTACTAAATCGATCTGAAATAACTAAAAACATTGCACGAACTATGAAAATAACTTTGGGAACAATAGGTGCAATGACAGGTAAGAACTCAGGAGACTAAAAAGGAAGTTTTAACTAATCTAGGATAGGTAAATGAACTACCTAGACACATTCTATATAACAAAAAATTCTAATACTCACCTCTCTGAAGTACAATTTTTGTAAAAAATTATTTTTGGAAACGCGCACAGGGCTTTGTGGGCTTATTCGAAATTCATCAGATTGATCTTCATGAAGGTCCCATGCTTTATAAGACACCTCCTCGGAGGATTCTTCGGAAGATACAGTAGAAAAACAATCTGATTCCTCAGACTCAATATCGTCCATGTCCATGTCGGACAGCATGTTGGATATTCGCCAGAGAAGCGGTGTTTTTCGTCTGTCAATTCGGAAAATAAGAGAGCATCGAAATTCGTCGCATCATGGCTACCAACGTGATATCAGGAGTTGAATGTCACTATTCTTCAATTTACCTGCTCAGAAAGGAGGCACTATTTAATATTATAAATTGTTTGTGTATCCCAGAACACCATGAGAGCGAGAAGAATATCTAAAACCAAAAAGTGTAACGCCATACATTCCATAGCCAATTGTGAGAGACAAAATGTTTTTTTCGCCGAAGTAATAGTTATAAACTCTCGTGATACTGAATTAATTACTTTTACGTCGAAGCGTGTTTTAAGAAATATGGTCATGGTAATAAGCAATGAAAGGAGAAATTGAAGACAAACAACTTGATGTAAATATTCTGCAGTGTTTGTATAGACTAAATCCGCAGGGTCACCAAGTGATCTCCATTTCAGCAATGAATTTCATTGCCGTACGCTGCTTTTCTTAAAGAAAAATGCATTTTTACATTTTTTATTTATTGAACATCTAAAGCAGTAAGAAAAACATAATTTTAAAGTATTTTATAGAGAATACAAAAACCTACAAAGAGTTGTCCCAGAATCGCCGATACTTGGATGCAAAACCCAGGTCGACATTCAAGTCGTTGACCCACAACGTAGCCAGCCGCGGATCCAAATGAGAGTGCGAACTGTTTTGGAAATAAGTAAATATTTTAGGGAAAACTTTGCAGATTATTGTAAATTAAATGGCGTAATATCTAAATATCCAGGTATTATAAATTATTGTGTACTATTATGCACTTAGTGATGATGGAAAGGGATAATGTAGCGAAATGGGACTAAATAGGGAGGGCGTGTGTCTTGGTTCTGTTCCTAAAACATACATATTTGTTCCAGACAAAAGTTTCAAGCTATGAATGCGGTTCGGCAGAAAACAATGTCACTTCTACTGTTTAAGTTCCTGAAAGATCATGGAAGACGCATATTCATTAACGTATTCCATTTTCATGCATCCCAAAGTGTTTTCTGAAATAATTGAATTCTCTGCATCAGCCCCTCAAAAACAAAACAGCAACCGTAACGCATAAAATTAAAAAACGATCTTAATCTGAATCTACAAATGGGTTTGAAAGGAATATAAGTAATTAGATTACACGATTCTTCAGTGTAAATTAACAACCGAGTGTATGAGGGGACGTCCATAAATTATGTAAGGCTAATGAGGGGAGAGGGGAGGAGGTTTGTGGTAGTGTTACGCTGCATTACATGGTGGCAGGAGTTAAGCTTAGTGCCATTAACGGTGATTTTTATTTTAAAAAATGCTTTTCTGCATTATTTAACGTGATTTCTTTTATTCACTCCTGAAATAAATCAATAAAATATTAACAAATAAAATTAAAAGTAAATAAATTAAAAATGTTCGGACCGTCCATGCGATCATCGGATCCTTTAGAAACATTGATATTTTACATTTTAAAAACAATTAGCAGACAAGCGCAGAGAGTATTGATGGAAGGCAGATCACAGAAAAAGTACTGCCTACAATAGAGTATCGGTTAGTAGCACAATACCGCGATTGTGAACTTCGCAACCTTCATGATTTTTATGCTTTTGCAAAATTGCTATGCTTCGCTAACGCTAGCAGGGTCACAGAGGAGAAGATGAAAGAGGATAAGAAGAAGAAGACGAAGAAGAAGAAGAAAGAGGGAGAAGGGGAAGAGAAAGAAGAATATAGATTGATGTTTTCAGGCAGTCTACTTCTATGGCCATTAGTTCCGTTAAAGTAGTGAATGTTTTATTCTGCGAGGCGGAGATGATGCTCCAGCTAGACATACCATCGACCTACAAGTTGGCTTGCGGGAGATTTCTCTCTCCAGGTATCTCTAAAAGCGGAGCACTGCATCACTCCGGTGAAGATCAAAGCTACCGGACAGTCTCTCGATATGTGTGATGTATGTATGCAAGGGGATAGGAAGAGGAAGGGAAGATCACACACGGTCCTAGTTCTATTGTCAAGATACTGCTTTCGCAGTTCTGCAAATAAAAAAATTGAAAAAAAACCTGCTTTCGCGTATGCTTAATATTGTTCGGAGAAACCACGGAAAACTATCGCAACAGAGCAACATGTTGCTAGAATTTGCTGAATACGACGAAGCTATATACGAACGATACAACATGTTGCTGAATACGACGAAGCTATATACGAGCTAGTGTCGAAAATCCGTCACAGACTGGACTCGAACCCTACGACCTCCCTGTCAGAGTCGCTGCAAAGACAACGACAATACTGCCAGTGAGCTTAATTCAACGGGCATCTATTATGTAAATATTAACAGTGTGCGAAATATTCGAAAAAAGTTCAACGCTTATTTTCTAAAAATGTTAATGAAACTGAAACTTAGGTCATTATTTGGAGCAATGTGCATTATTCTAAATAAATACTCGTAACACTAGAAAAATACAAACACTAAAGGAAAAACTGAAGCCAATTTTGACGCATAAGAAATGTATGAAAACTGTCAGAAACTGATTACAAATACGCAAAAATTACAAATATGTTGAAACTAGTGCTTCAAGAGCACAACATTCTCTCAGCACATTATTTCTGAATTTTGCAATTTTAGAACATTCAGAAAGTTCAGCAAAAATGGAACCGGCAAATTGTCTTCGACCTTAAACCGGCAAATTAGGTATATCCAAAGAAAAATTATATGTATTTTAAAGAAAACTTTGTCCTTGGGTGTGTTGTATGTACCCAGGCATTCGTTAAAACCCCATGTTTTTGATCTCCCAGACACTGTGCTAACTCCGGCCGGCCTGAAAATCAGTGTTTTTCTGACCTTTTTCGGTTTTATCTCAGAAAAGTTAAAAATTGGTCTTTAAATTTTGCAAATTATCATTGAACATTTTGGAGCTGTTTTCAGAAAATATTTGAGCGCTTCTAAAAATGTGCAATTTTGAACTAATTTTCAAATGAAAATGAGTTTTCAAGAAACTTCATTTAAAATATTTTGAAGCACTTGTAATCACAAATGCAATAATGTATTAAATATACTAGTAATGTAATAATCTTAACGACGTGATATTTGATCCAACAATACATCTGCGCAATTTCTGAAAAATCAAAACAAATCAAAATTGCGTTGATTTTATGTTATTTAGCGCATTTAATAGTATCTGTACAAAAAGTTTAAGGAAGAAATTCGGGGCCATTTTGGAGAAAATTTTGTTTTTAAAATTGCCTTGATTTTACGCAAAGTTACGGGAAATCTACCTATATTTTGAAAAAGTTGTACAACACATCATTTCAATATCTAATTTTGTAGAACATATTTCATTCACAAGAAAAATCTTTATCTTCAATATTGTTGTTGCAGGAAGACGTTCGAAAAAATTCAAACATTTGAAATGTTCGAATATCCAGAGAATTCAATAAAAATCGAATCTGCGCCATTTTGATACGCCTACTTTTCTCCAACCCATATAGAAATGTTTTAAAAAATTGGAGTCATTTTTCAGAAAAAAATGAAAATGCCCTTGAGAATATATGTAAAATAATCCAAAAAATTGCAATCCGTTTAAAATTTAAGGGGCCGCGACATCAGGCGATTAAAAAATATAAATATTAGTGAAAATTCCTCAAACTGTTTAGTCGCTAGATTTGTTCACAGACAGACGAATAGTTGGGCTGATATTTTGCCGTATACCAGTTTTTCGGTATCAAGAAACGACAAATTAACATCAACCGAGTCTGAAAACATTAACCGAGTCTGACATCTGGTGAAGAAAGTGTGACAATTGAGTATGACACCTGCTGGGCTACAAGAGACGTCCACGGAACGCCCCTGCTTGTAAGATTCCCTAGACAAGGGATTCTTCCTGGATAGTTCCCAACGGGACCGGTATAGACCCTCTGGGGTTAGATGAAAGTTTGAAGGGGGTTCATGATGATGATGAAGGGGTCGATTACAGGGGGTGAATAACCGAATAAGAACCGGCGCCCGATCAATAAAATCAAGATCATATTGGTTGCAAAAATAATGAAATTAATGAACTGTTTTCTGATGTGAAGCAAAAAACCCGTAATAATAAATTACAAATTCTCCCCCTTCGTTAGTATCTGTCTTTCATCTTTTGAATTTAGGATGCGCACAATACTTAAAGAAATTACAAGTAAGAATTTGCAACCATTGGCGAAGCGTCAGGGTAGGCAGAGTAAGCTGAGCTATCCCAAAGAATTTTGAAGAAGGTGAGAAAAATATCACTTATAAGAAGAAAATTAAACATTCATAATGTCGCGTTTTAGCCAATTAATACCACACATACGCGCGCCAAGTTATTTTCCGCTTTTCTTATGCATATTCTGTGCGATTTTTCGTTTCGTCACACGGAAAGGTGGGCGAGGCCTGGGCGAGGCCTGGGCGAGGCCTGGGCGAGGCCTGGGCGAGGCCTGGGCGAGGCCTGGAAGCTGAGTCTCGTCCGCCCAACGCGTTACGATGTCTCTAAACCAGGGACCGGGCGAAGAGAAGTGAACGCGCACGTGCATTGAGTAGGCTGGCACGACGTCTCGTACAAAAGTTAGGCCGGCCTTACTTCTGTGTAATAATTGAAACTTAACGGCAGGAGCTCTTTTCACTATCCGATTGCGTGGAACGTCCGGGAATGTCCTCTAGAACTCATTGGGTGGCACTCAAGTAGCTTTATGGTCTTAATTTAATATGCTGCCTTTAAATAATATCCTCTCTATTGTAACCACCGACTCACCCGATTACCCGATTTCCTTCGGCGATTCAGCTTTGCCCGGCTGCTTCGTCGGCAGACTCCCTAGAAGGAGGCATGCGTGATTGCCTAACTACTGGAGAGAAAGACTGAGGCATTTTCTTAATATTACTTTAATCAATCTTGAATTCAATGCGGGTGAAGCCCAGCGCCATAACAAAAATTACAATTAACTTACAACTAATCTTAACTTAAAAAAGGCCGGCATGGCCAGAGTTCGTATTATCTCCGTGGTTTTCGCCCTCCCGG